GGCAGGTTTGGCTGGCTTGAGTTGTGGGGATGGAACCACAGCAACCTGAGCCTGACTGCTTTGTTGAAGCAGCCACTTAAAGAACTGAGCTAAGGGGTCGGCCCCCCTTGAACTCCTTTCTTGGTCGTTTCAGTTTCATTGTCTATTTTTATTTTGACAACATGGCTGACTGCTCAATTTCATCTCAGCCACTTTGTCTAGCTAGCTGCCTATTCTGAAGCAAATTGACTAAACTGTCTCTTACAGTAATATCTCAGTATTGATGTGGAAAGCTCATTGAATTGCCTGACTTAGGCTTACTTCAGCAATCTTATTCATTCCTTATCATGAGCCGGGAAAGTCCTTTTAATGCAGTTCCATGTGTTTATGACAATATTTTTTTGTATATAATTTTTGAGGATCTTTTTAAATGTGTATTTCTCTTTTATCAATTATCTGATTATCCAATCAGGTATGTGCTCTCTTAAAAATTAAAATGGTTTACACAAAGTTTAAGGCTGTGAAAATAAAGAATTTAAAAATTCTCAACTTTTTTCTTTAGTGATATTGCCCTTCTGGAAGAAGAATTAAAGACACTAATTGAAGCTCTGATAGAGAATTTTCTTGAGCCCAGCAAGAATGGACTGATCTGGCGTTCTGTGTAGGGTACATTGTGCATTAGGACTTTGTACTGGCACGTGGAGCAGAACCACCAAGGACTCCATCCACTGACCCTACTGTTAGCATTCTGTATCTCATTTGGCCAAGGATCTTTTTCTTTTCGTTTTCTCTCCTTTTTCTCTTTTCTTTTATTTAACTAAGGACACTGTATAAATTTGAAATGTAAATGGAGGGAAATGTTTCAGATTTTTTAATGCTCTTGATTGAAAGTCATTACATTAAAAGTGTTCTGGTAACACATCATTTTTCTTTTAGCACAGATATCAACAACAAAAGTGAATTGTCTTATTAAAGTGTGGTTGATTAAGCTTAGTAACTCATATCTTGTACATGTGTATAGCATGGCTTTTAAAAAAGGCAAATAAATGTGACATAATTATAGGATTAGTTAAGGAAATTAATCCATACAAATGGAAAGAAATGGTAATGTTCCTAGATCATTATGGAAAAGTGTCATTGTTACCTCCTTGGTATTGATTTACCAATTAAAGTAATTGTACAGATGTTATAATATGTGGTTTTGTATCTGCTTCTGGTGCCCTTGGTGCACTGTAAATTTACTTTGTGTATTTTAAACTCTGACATTTACTGAACAGAAAACAATAGTGATAACACTCTTACTGTCTTTGTTCTTGTCAGATTTCTTAGTGCCTTTTCAAGTCTGATGTGAACTTAAACAGTGTTCTTGCATTGTATATAATTTTATCAATTTTCAGATAGTTACAGAAAATCTTCCAACTGTACAGGTGCTTCCTTTGTATTGAGTGAGTTTGTTGATTTTAAAATAGTATGCTTACAAAACAAGATCTGAGTAAAAGCAGGCTTAATGTAACTATAGTTAAATGTGTTCAAGTTAGGTTTGTGTGGGTTATCTTAACCTTTAAGTAAAGAAAAATATATGAATCAGAAAATAAGCCCTGATTTTGACAGTTCTAACTTTGGAATAACATTTTGGAGAGCAGATTTATTCCTTTATCTGATGAAGTAATGCTAATGTTAACAAAACATACAGATTTTAAATTCTAAGAAATACTAAAACTGTTTAGGTGTTTTTGTTGTTGTTGCTTTTGGTACACAGGAGTCAATCTCAGGACCTTGCACTTGCCAGGCAGGCACTTGCACCACTGAGTTCTATCCCCAGCCCGTAAAACTACTGTTTAAGGCTAAGGGTCAAGTTAGTCAAATATTTTTCTGGCTTCTATGGAATTTCTGATCACATGAGTATTTTTGTTTTAATATGGAAGATTTTTTTTAGGAAAGTTACTTTTGGTTGATTTTATAGTCTTCTAAAAAGATTTAACAGAGAACTGCTGTTTAATCTTTGTAAGGTCTATCTTCTCTTGGCCAGTTTACAAAATAAACATATATATCTAGGGACAGCAAAAACAAAGTCTTAGGTGTAAGCATCTAAACAATTTTCCCATAGGATCAGTATTTGTATTGAAGAATTTGTTTCCTTAAAAATAAGCAATAATAATATAAAGTCTGAACTGATTATAATGTTGACTAAATAACAGTATAATTTGTTTTAGCATCTGATGAAGTAATGCTAATTTTAACAAAACATACAGATTTTATGTATGTAAAATCTGACTTTTGCTTGAGCGCATATAATTTAAATATAATTTTCAGATTATTGCATTGCCACTGTTGTTAGTTTGTTCTTTCCTTACTTTATCTCTAGATCTTATATGATGGAAGATAATAGATAGCTAGCTATAAATGTAGAGTATCATTTTTTTTCTCAATGAATTTGTTTTCAAAGTTTTTGCACTGAAGAAGAAATGTGTAGAATGTCTTGTTGTTTTATTTAAAAATATGTAAAACATTTTTGTTTTGTTGGCTCTTAGAAACGTAGATCATGACTTAGGAAAAAGCATGTATTCTACAAAGTGGTATGAACAATGTTATATATGTATAAAGAACATTGTATTTTGTTTTAGTATCTGTGTTTCTGTGACCAAAGAACAAAAGAGGCTAATTACATTGTAGCCCATTCATAATCACTACAAACATGTTGTGATTGTCATTTTCTTATGAAGAAAACAGTTTTGAGTGCTGTAATATAATACAACATGGAAACCACCTTAAGTTGAAGAGTCCTGAAGTTTCGACTCTTCTCTAAAATATATTAAAATCTAAAGTTGAAATTAACAAAATTTTATAAAGCTTTCTGAATTGTGTAGGTTGAAGACACTATTTGATTGTACCAAAACTCTTGAATCTGAGCATGATGTTTAAGTTGAACCTGACAGAGTGAATACACATTACTATTAGTATAAATTCAGTGCCCCAGCAGGCAGAAGTACTGACCTATGGATCTCTGTTGCAGGCAATATGTTATTCAGCTTTTTTTGTTGTTGTTGTTTAACAGTCTCAGAAATATATGTGTGTTTATTGAATATAAATAAAAACCTTTCTGCAGGTGAAAAGAAAAGAATAGGGCAAGATCAAAATAAATTGTAAGTAAACAGTAAAAATGGACAATATAAAGGCCAATAAGATAGCACAAAAAATATCTTGTGAAGAACAAACCTAGCACCACAAAAGTAGGGAATAAAGTGTGAGCAGTTTATGTGTGTTTATTTCTTGTTATAATGAGCAGACAGTGATCTTATCAGTTTCCTTTATTAGACATCGAGAAACCAGTTATAGGAGGTGAAGTAAGTGTTTCTATTAAGAATTAAATTCCTGCTAGGGTGTTGTTCCTTGTGTTCAGAATCATATGGAAACTCAAGAGGAAATTAAGAAGAAATAAATGGGATAAAATGTAGATCAGGAAACAAAGACTTGAGAAAAGGGAAAGATTATGATCATTTAACTCTAGAGAGGAGAAAGCTGTTGAGATCATTTACTAAGTCATAAGCCATTCACTGAGCCTTTAACTGAAGGACTCAAGTGGTGATGTCATACTGCTCCCCATCTCTAGGGAGAAGGACAGATCAGAGAGAAAAGGGATATTTTTTAAAAAGATAGCATGAAATGTTTAAGATTTAAGAACTCCTTGAGCAAAATTTCTCATAAAATCTCTTATTTAAAATATTTTAGTTTTTAGGAGAGTAAAAATTTTTTAATGTTAAAGGATGTGCTAAATAGCTTTTTAAAAGATCATTACAGGGCATGGGGAAATAGCTCAGTAGAATAAGTGCTTCCCTGCCAAGCGCAGGGTCCTGAGTTCAATCCTCAGTACTGCAATAAATAAATAAATAATCTTTACTTGTTACCCATTTTAAAATTCAGATTGGAACAAAAAAATCATATGTAAAAAGCACTGACAGTAATATTTGCATTCCACTCCTTATCTATAAGAATTTAGCTCACAAAGTAATTTTTTATGTTTTGTGTTGTACGTATATGCGTTCAAGGAGTAACATCCTGTTTAGATGTTATTTTTAACTTGACCTTGAGATTTTTTTTGACCTTGAGAATTAAGTAAGACTTAAACACAGTTCTGTTCCTCTTAAGGAATGTATAGCATTATAGGATATATGAGGGGGTTGTTTTAAATATAAAATATTGTTACATAGATATAATAACTTCAGCAAAGAGGTTCTGAGAGATTGTATACCTTGTAATATCTGTATACTGATACAACAGACATGTTAACTGGAATCTAAAGGGAGAAATTGTTCCGTGAACTGCTGCTATTCATACTTTTTTTCAGGTGTTTTCCACAGATGTTTGTAATGCTTGAGAAAACCAAATTCTGCTTAGATACATTGAATTTTTCTCGGGCTGGCCAAATAGCTCAGCAGATTAAAGCTCCTGCTTAGGCAGACACAGGGGCCAGGAGTAAGATCCCCAGGCATGCTGTGCCAGCCCTGCCCCCAGGGTGCCCTGAGATGGTGATTGAGACTGGGCATGGTGGTGTGTGCCTGTAATCCCAGCACTTGGGAGGCTGTAAACAGGAGGATCACTATGAGTCCAATCTACACAGTGAGACCCTGTACACCCTGTACACCCTGTCCTAAATACAAAAACAAATTAATTTTCTCCCTACCTTCCTGTTGCCTTAGACACTCTTCTATATTTTTTAACTGTGAAAAAGTATTATTGTTATCTCACTGACAAGAAATCTTAACTATATTCATTCAAAATGCTTTAAACTTACTCATAAGCTGCTTGTTTATGGACTTTTTATTATTTTCAGAATATTTAAGACATTGTAAGGAGTACTTTTAAATCTGTTTCATAATCTGGTTTTGGTCTGTCTGTTACTTTTTTGTGAATTTATTATAATGCTTTAAGTTCATTTGTTTTCTGAACTTGCTCTAGAAATTGATGAAGAAATAATCATACCAAAATGGTTATTTGACCTAGCATTTTATATGAGCATTCCTTATACTATGGGGAGTAAAAGCACAAATTTTCCTCAAATCTTTTCATGTATTTCCCTCTAAGCATTTTATCCTAAGCCATGAGTCTAAATCAAAAGGAATGAATGGTTCATTTTCTGACTCTTTATAAATCATAGCTTTAATTCCAGTAAGAAACAAAATTAATATTGAATATTGGTTATTTTCAAATATTTACTGTTACATTCACCATGTCATCTTTCTTAATTCAAGACTATATCCATTATTATTATTATTATTATTACTACTACTACTACTAGTACTACTACTATTTAATGTATTTGGTTGTTGCACTAGCTATGCAGCTCAGTCTTGTGGTGATCCTCCTGCTTTTGGCCTCCCCAGCACTGGGGTTACAGGTGTGCACCATTACGCCTGGACTCCAGCCAGCTCATGGCATGGCATGTGGTGCCAAGGACTGAATCACAGTCCCTGAGTTTGCCTAAGCTTGCCTAAGCAGGTACTTTAGCCCACTGATCTATCTTGCCCAGAGACTATATCCTTTATTAAGAAGCCTACCAAGAATGAGTAAAGTGGTTAAGGTAGGGATAATATGACATACCTAGAATTTGCGTTTCAATTTTTTCTACCAGCAGAACCCTAACACAAAGAAGTATGAAGAGAAAGGAGTCATGTGAGTAAAATCAGAAGCAACTGCTGCTGACATAAAATCTTGTGTTCTGACTTTTATAAGTAAACTTCTAATATAGAAATATTATATTCAAAAAATAAATTATAGGGGGATGGCTATAATTTATACTGAGAGATGGCTCAGTGGAATAAGCACTTCCCTGGCAAGCACAAGGGCCTGAGTTCAAACCCTGGTTCCACCAAAAAAGTAAATAAATAAAAAATAAATTGTATCTTCCATCTTCACTCAAGTTAGTGCTGCCCAGAAGGAAAGCACTGTGTTCTCATTTGGCCTCTCAATACTCTCTCCTGACATTAGCCTGCTCAGTTGCTACAGATCCCTGGGAGATACATACACAATGACTTCTGTGTGAGATAGATGAATATAGAATATATCAAGGATATTCCTGGCACTTTAGATACTGACCTACATTACTAATAGTAAATTAAACTAACTTGACACAATTGTGTTACTGTTGAACCTTACTATATAGTCTGAGGTGTTAGCCAGTAAATTTTGTTCACTTTAACTTATTGGCATTCCTTGACTAAAAAGGAGCACCTAACATTTCCCTCCGAGAGAGAGAGAGAGAGAGAGAGAGAGAGAGAGAGAGAGAGAGACAGAGAGAGAGAGACAGAGAGAGAGAGACAGAGAGAGACAGAGACAGAGAGAGAGACAGACAGAGAGAGACAGAGACAGACAGCCATCTGTCTATCAGCTCCCTGAGAGCAAGAAGCATGGTTGTAATTTATATCTGTATACCTAATATCATACCAGTTATAGAGTGCTTAGTTTGTTTTAATAGGAATTAAGAGATTTATTTTAAGGACGCAAATAGCTTTTTAAAGTGAAAAATATAATTTTTATAATTCGATCTCTTATGCTCATTACTGAAGTTTATAAGTGATACTGAGTTTCTGTAGGAAGACTAGAGCATTTTTTTTTTTTTTTTTT